GGGGAGAGGAGGCCTGATCTTAAAATTAGTAATCAGCAAATTGCTTTCTTTCACCTCTACAAGGCTCTGAACAGAGGGCATCTGATTTCCTCAGCTGTCCCAGGAAGCTCAGGGGGCTATGTGGAACGAAGCGGTACAAGAAACAGAGGCAATTATCTGAGTGATTCAGGAGGAAATGCTATTGCATTATCATCATCATCAATGGGATGATATGTTAACAGTTGGTTTTCTTTTTTTGTCTTAATAAACATCAGAGGCAGTGTGATATGGCAATGAACTTGGAATTGGGAGAGCCAGGTTCAAGTCTCAGATCAGCCTTTTACTAGTGGTGTGACTTTGGACAAGTTGATTCTAAGCTCCCTGCCAGCTCTGACATTCTATGTTCTAAGCTCCCTTCCATCACTGACATTCTGTTCTTTTATTTATTTATTTAGGCAATTGGGGTTAAGTGACTTTCCCAGGGTCACACAACTAGCGTCAAGTATTTGGTCTGAAGGTGGACTTGAACTCAGGTCCTCCTGACTTCAGGGCTGGTGCTTTATCCACTACACCACTTAGCTGCCACTGACATTGTGTTCTAAGCTCCCTCCCAACTCTAACATTCTTTCTTCTAAGGTCCATTCCAGCTTTGACATTCTTGCAAGTTGAATTAGGTTTACTTTTATCTTGTAGCTTGTTTTGTGGTGAAAAAATAGCAATGCGCTTGAATCCAGACTCTGCCATTTATTCATTGCATGAGGCATTAAGTACGCTAAGCCTTCATCCTTAAATGGCTTCCATTAATTTTCCCCCTGGCTATACCCTCTTCCAATGCACACTGTAGCCCCTTCATGATTTTGTAGATAAAATCTGCATGAGCTGCGGTGGGGGAGAAATGCCATCCCTTGATGGCCGGCCTTCTGTGGTTAAGCCTGTTCTCTCTTAGCCCAGCTGATTCTGACAACCAACACCCAGCCTGCCATTGGGCCCAAACTCAAAACCCACTTAGCTTCCTTAAGACCTGACGGTGTTTGGGTCTATCTGCTGGGATAGAGCCCAGGGTCACAGTCACGCCACAATTAAGCATCAGAGGAGGATGTTAGTGTAATTGCATAGCATTAGATAAATGTCAGCTCTCATCATCACTGTTATTACCATTACTTCAGAAATTCGCCCCTGCTCCTGTTTGCCAGCATGAAGCAGCCTCTTCTGAAGTGACAGACCGGCTCTCAAAGCAATATCCTCTAAACCACTACTAAGGCTCATTAAAACCCCAAACCCCAAACTCATCAATTATTTAGAGCCAAAGTGACATTAACAATCTCTTCTGGAAGGGCTCATGCCAGGCATTTGGCCAAAAGAATGTACATTTAAAGTTTAGAAAAGGGCTGAACATTTCCAAAGAAATGGTGCTCTTTAAATGACAAACCACAGAATGTCAGGGCTCTATAGGACCTTGGAGATCCATGCCCCCTTCTTCCTCACTTTAGAGAGAAAAACACTGTGGCTGAGAGAGATGTGACTCGCCGGGTGTCACACAGAAAATGGCACAGCTGAAATTCAAAACCAGGCCCTCTGACTCAGAGGCAGACAGCGTCCCATACTTAAGATGCTCCCTCCCAATGGAGGCTTTCTTCTTCCCTGTCCTCTGCGTATCTGGGACCCTTGACCTAGCTAGCCATATGTATAGTTTGTTTATTTTTACCTTCCAAAGTAAGAAGGGAGTGAAGTTTCTGATAAAAATCACAATAATACATTTTTTTCTTCTGTACTGTACTGCTTTCCTATTCTCCAATTGCTTCTAAGTAACCTTTTACCTACCCTTCTTTCAGAAATTCTTAACAGAGATGCCCAAAAGTTTTAGCTGGCTGTCTTAGGACACAGTGAGTGCCTCATTGCTGGAGGGAGGTGAGAAACAGAAAGGATGGGAAAGGGTAAGATGAACTGTCTTGCTAGCTATGCAATGGGCAAGTCTTTTAACTATCCCATACCTCAGTTTCTTCATCTGTAAAATAAGGCTCTTGCAACTGATGGCTTCCAGCGTCTCTTCCATCTCTACTTCTGGGAACTACCTCAAGTTTCGCAGAACACTTTTTTCTGGGCTTCTCTAATGAACTAAGAAGTAGCAGGATCCTAACATTATCTGTGCGCATGTCATATCTCTCTGTTAGACATGACCTCCAAGAAGACATAGATTGAAGGGCAGGTGTGCCCCTCTCTTTCCAAGCATTGATGGTAGCAGAGATGTGCACAAAGGTGCTTGATGAACATCTGATGCTAATCAATAACAATACTTACCCTACCTACCTTACAGGGCTGTTGTGAGAATCAAAAGAAACAATGGATGTTAGAGTGTTATATTCACAGACTCATAGAATATCCAAACTGGAATGGAACTTGGAGCACAGAATCACAGAGCAGGAAGGGACCTATAAAATGAAGCTGCTTCTTCCAAAGTGACAGACTGGATCTCAAAGCAATATCCTCTGAACCACTCACTACTAAAGCTCCTTCTAACCTCAGAACCCAAACTTACTGTAATGCCCCTCAGAACAGGGAAAGTGGGAGCTAGAAGGGATCTTAGAAATCTACCCTTACCATGGTGCTCTAGTTTGACAAATGAATGAGGGAATAAAAAAATCTTCCACCCTCAAGCTTGGATACACAGAGGTCTCTCAATTAAGAGCCTCAGTTTCCCCTTCTGTTAAATGCCAATAAGAGCACCTGCTCTTATTATCTTAGAGGGTTGCTGTGAGGATCCCATAGGCTTGGAAGTACCTTGAAAAGTACAAAACGCTCTACAAATGGACAGGCTTGTTATCATTATAGCTTTGTTCTTGAGAAGGGTCCTCAATGGGCAGTTAAGACATATGACTGTGGTTGGGGCTGAACACCTGGGTTTGTCTCCTGGCTTTTTACTTTTCTGACCATGTGGGCAAGTCACTTGATCTCTCCTGGTCTCCTTTTTCTCAGCTGTAAACTGAAGAGGCTCCCTAAGGTCCTTTCCATTTCTAAATATTATGATAGAATGAATTAATTTTAAAAGTTTCAAGAACATTAACCTTCCCGATTTTTTTTTAAATTGCACTAATACATTTTATTTTCCATTGATCATTTTGGAATATTCCCCTCTGTTCCACATGTAGTGAGCCTTCTCTTATTTAAAAAAAAAACCCAGTTAAGTAAAACTAAGATAGTTACAGCTATTAGCAGTTTATGCTGCTAATATCTCACCTCTGTCATCCTGAAATCAAGGGAAAGATGTGAGAGATGTATTTCAATTTACGCTAGTTCAATCTTACTTTGTGAGACTGTGTTTATCTAGGGTCAAATTTGGTATTCAGCAACTATTATGTCTACAACATTTTTTATACCTTGGGGAAGATAAAAGATTGAGTTAAAACTATGGCCACTCCCTTCATGGAGTGTACAGTCTATTGAGGGACATCATAAGGTACCAATAACTAGAGGGTGTCCTAAAAGTCTTAGTGCTTTCTTTTTTTTTTTTTAAAGTCTCATCAGCCTAAAAAGTCAAGATAGGAAGTCTGAGGAAACAACACGGTCTAGGATATAAATGGCCTTCCTTGGAATCCTGGTTTTTAGTCATGGTTTTGGACCTAACTGCTTCACCTGAGTTAAGAAGCATTATAATGTAACGGGCTAGGAAAGGGACACGGATTCAAATTGTAGCTCTGTAACTTAGTTCCTCTATGACTTGGAACAAGTCACTTAACCTCTCTCTAAGACTGTTTTCTCTTTTATAAAATGAAGAGTTTAGATCACATGGCCCATAATGTCGTTCTGGCACTAATATTATATGTTGGTTTGTTTTTTTTAACATTTTAGGTTCTAACATCTCTTCCAGATCTGACACCACATCTTCTGCATTTCAACACCCAATATTGCAGCATTTCTTCCATCTCTGACATCTTCTAGTCCCTTGGGGCTTAAACATTCCCTGTTCTAAGGCCCTTCTGCTTCTAACATTCCCTGTTCTAAGGCCCTTCCGCTTCTAACATTCTCTGCTCTAAAGTCTCTTTTCCAGTGCTGAATGTCCAAGAGTCTATGATAAAGAACTTTGCTGTCCATGTTCAATTAGTGCATTTAAGTCATTGTGCAATCTTGGCAAGTCACTGAGGATCACAATGACATTCCAGCCACCCTCAAACCTACAGGCAGTTTGATTACCACTACCAGATTGGCTCACTGTCCCCCTCATCTAATGTAAAGAAGAAACTGCCATATGAAAAATTTTAGTGCCTTCACTTTTCTTCCAAGTCATTACCACAGTTTGAAATGGCAGTCAATATTTCTAATTAAAAGCCAATTTGGCCATTGCAATTACAATTTCATAAATTAAACTGGCTAATGAACTGAAACTTCCAATTAAATGTTAGTGCTCAAATACCTGAACTTCCCAGAGAAGTGAATCTTGGAGAAATAAGATCTGTTTGGGAAATCAGGAGTTATCTAATCATTGTCAACAGGCAAACAGAGAAGGAAAAAAAAACATTCTGACCTAAGGCCTGGGGACCACAGCTCTTAATTAGCATAATACCAGCCATTTGTAAGATAAAATATCCCAAAGCCAGTTCATTCTTTAGAAAAAAACATTGCTTTCAGGATCTTTTCAACTCTCCTGGGGTTCCTTTCCCTCTCAATCCACCCCCCTGCTTCCAATACTTCAATTCTGATGACCTTGGTCAGGGGAGGTGGGGGATGGGAAGGATGGTAAAAGATGGGTGGAAAAGGAGGAAGGGGTGGGGGTTGGGACCATGGAGAGTAAAGGACACAGATGCAGTGGTAGCATTCCACAGAGATCAGAGCACCTGGGAAATGACTAGTGCTCCAGGCATACCACCCCCATGGGACTGAGACCTCAGTGTCTACAATGGGGTTGGGGTAGCCTGGAGGTGGTGGGTTCATGGGGATGTATATCAATTCTTATCTATACAATTATCCATAACACACACACTCACACGCACAAAGACAACAGGAAAATAGAGGAAGGAAGACCATACCTTTCACTACCTTATCCAGATAGTGAGCTTGGGAGATAAAAGACAGGACATTTAAGGTAGGGTTGAGTAAGTACCATATTGCCCATCACAAGACAATGCAGGTGTTACAGAGGAAGAGGAAACTTGGCCAACAGCATCAGAATGTAACCTCTGTCCCAGGAGGAAGAGCGTCAACCAACGGCATTGAGAAACAGAGGCAGGGCAGGACGGCAGGGCCCCAGGGGAGTGGTTTCTCACCCATCCACTCTGACTTTGGGAACATGATCAGAACAGCAAGAAATCAAACACACATGGGTGGAAATGAATGGAAGGCAAGAATGGGGAGGAGCAGAAGCAGCAGTAGTGTGAGGCAGGTGTGGATTCCCCTCAGAGCCAGCCCTTGCTGCCGATGCCCTCCTGTAGCAGGAAAGACCCGTTGGACGGGGGAGGTCTCTGGTCTCTTGACAAATGGGAGCCATCTTGAGGTGAGCTCTGGGAAGTAGTTAGTGGCTAACACCCTGGACTTAAAGTCAGAAAGACTCAGATATCAGTTCAGACACTTACCAGTTACGTGGCTTTTGCCAAGTCAATTGCCCTGAGTTTTAGAATCCACATCTATAAAAAGGGTGTATATTCGTCCCTGCCCTGTCTACCTAACAGGGTAGCTGTGAGGGTGCAAGGAGGTAACAAACAGAAGTGCTTTGTAAACATAAAGTGCATAATTACAAGTTAGCTCCCTCAAACAGAAAAAGTGTATCCCTGGATAGAGGCAAAGTGGAAAGAGCATGGGATCTGGGGTTCAGGAGCTGTTGAGTCATTTCAGTCATGCCTGACTGGAGAGCTGGGTTCACATCTGAGCTCTGCCACGTACCAACTGTATGACTTTGAGGACACTGTTTAACCTTTGTGAGCCATAGGGTCCTTATCAGCAAAACGGAGACAAACTCATCTCCTTACTTCACAGGTGGGCCATGAAGGATTTTGTAAAACACTATATAAATGTCAAATATCAACATTATTCTTGTACAAAATTGTGGTCCTGAAATGTTTTACGTAAACCTGAAATGTTTTGTGTTAATCGTAGGTATGCAAATTTGATAATTTAAAACACACTGAAAGAAGCTGGCTGTAGTGAATGTTTTACTCAGGTTAAATTCTGATAATAAAGCTCCATTAATGTATCCTGTTTAGTGACTGCATGCTCCTGAGTCATTCATCCATTAGCTAATCACACTCTTCACACATTGGATAGGCTGACCATCAGCACCTAGCTAGCTGTCATCCTTTCACGTTGACCTGGGAACCTCAACATTTCTGGTGATGCTCCCTCAAATACCCCAACTGACTACCTGCTCAAATCCGCCTCCATGACCTCTTTCTTTATTCTGTCTCAGCTACCCAGAGGGATGGTTGTCCCCTTCCTGCCCCCCTCACCCCCATCTCATCATTACCCACAAGCGTTCTTTGGCTTTGATCAAAAACTCTGGCATTCTCCAATGGACCAACCTGGCCTTCTTGTGTTCTTTTTCCAGGATGTGCCATCTCCCCTCTGTGCTTCTGTACTATCTTGTCCTAAATGCCTAGAACGCACATACTCCTTGCCTTCGCCTCACAGGACCCCCCTCTTCCTTCAAGACTCCGCCCAAACACCACTTTCTTGAGTTCCCCTCAACTGCTAGTGGCCCCCTCCCCATATTGTATTTAACTTCCTTTCTCTTACATTTTACTCTCTCTTTCTCCCCTCAAGAGAATACAATATTGAGAGTAAGGATTACTTCATTCATTGCATGTGTAATCCTTACTTATTTTTTAAATCTTGGCAGGTATATCTTTGAATTCATTGATTTTAACCTTAACCATGCCTCCAACAAAATATATATTCCTTGAGAGTAGGAATTTTTAATTAAAAAAAACAAAACTGTATCCCTAGCACATAGCCTAGTGCCTGGCACACAGAAGATACTTAATAGATGCTTGCTGACAGACTGATTGAGTTGTAGCACCAACTTCCTAAAAAGTTTTTGCAAAGTCCATCATGGAAAAGGGAAAATGGTGGGATGGAGGGAAAACTGATAGAGCAGCTAGGTGGCTGGGACAGAGCTCTAGGCCGCGAGTCAGGAAGACCTGAGTTCAAAAGTGACCGTAGACACTTACTAGCCGTGTAGGCCTGGGCAAGTCACTTCACTACAGCTTGCCTCAGTTTTCTCATCTGTAAAATGGGGGTAAGAACAGTATCTACCTCTCAAGATGGCTGTGAGAATAAAATATTTCTAAAGTGTTTTTAAGGCACTATAAAATGCTAATTATTATTATCATCATTAAATAATAATTCTTCTTATTTAAAGCTGTCATAGGGAATAGGGATAAGGCTTGTTTTGCTGGGCTCCAGAAAGAACTAGGACAAATAGGTAGAAGTACAAAAAAGTCAATTTTTGACTCAATACAAGAGAAAAAAAATATCTTGTAAAAGGAGCTCTCCAACAATAGGATGGTTAATCCAGAGAAAAAGTGAGTTTCCTATTACTAGAAATCTTCATACAGAAGTTGGATGGACATTAAGGGGAGTATGTTTTAAAGGAGATTACTATTGTGATTAGGATGAAATGATCTCTTGGGTCCCATCCATCCTTGAGATAGAAAAATTCTGTGGTTCCATGTTGCATCTCCACTCAGCAATGATGGTGAAAAGAGGACTCAGTATTTTACTGACTTGTTGCATCTATCTACTTGATCTTTCCTAACCATGATGGTGGTGAAGCTGTCATTAGTCTTGGTCAGTGTCCATTCATTCAACAATTTGTTGAGTGTGGACTATGCGCTGGCTGTTCTGGAGGACATAAAGGTATATGAGATACGTTTCCAAGCCTTCTGTAATCTTTATATTCATCTTGCATAATCCTAGCTATGTCATGGTCCATAAATTTTTTAAGTAAGTTTGACTGTTACAGCATAGCTTTCATCCCCCCACTTGAAGGATTGTGGAGGACTCCCTAGGAAGGTTTTTAGGACAGACCTAGAGCTAGACAAGATATAGACGTGTTAGCTCAACTCCTTCCCTCTGGTTGACTCCACAGCAGCTGTCCTCAAAGTATGGTTCAAAGAAACCATAGAGGTCCCTTCTTTAAGATGAACTACTGGCCATCTACTATTACTATGGTTTACGTCTTAGATGCATCCACTGTCTTTTCTACTTGGTTGGGGGAAATCTCTTGATGATTATAAACTGGTGCTTGGGGAATAATACACTGAGTAGTAAGAGTCCAGTCTCCTGAAGTTACAAGTGAGGCAGATTCAGGAAGAACTTCCTGTTCTGTCCCACAAAACAATGGGCTGTTTCGATATTGATTAAGGCCCATGTCACTGGTAGGGTTCATATGAGGGCTGGAATGGAACTGCTGTGGCAGGTGAGTAGCAGGTGAGGTGAGAGCAATAATCCCGAGGCTGCCTGCCATCTGATTCAATTTAATTCATCATTTATTAAGTACTTATTATGTTGTAAGGCACTGTGCTAAGTGCCCTGGGAATCAGAACTAGGCTGGATTTTTAGCAGGCTCATTCTACTTTTGTTTGTAGAGTTGGTTTTCCACGATGGAGGGAGAGTAAGACGGAGCCCAGAAAGAATTTCACTTTTGCATAGCCTCATAAATAGGGCTAGAAATGGTCTTAGAGGCTGTCTATTCCACAATACCCCACTTTTATAGCTGGAAAAACTGAGGGCTAGAGAGATTGTGTCATCAAGCTGTGGGGATCTGGCATTCCTAGGTATCTATTTTGTGCTGGGTATTGCTGCAAGCTACTGGGGGTCTTGGGTACAAGAAATAGGAATGTGTTTGGTTGATGATGATTTTGTCCCAGTGGCAATAACTGCTACATCCTGGACAACATCTTCTGGCCTCTTAGATATGCAGCTGCATCAGAGGTCACATAATTCAAGCAGAGAAATGTCAATGGACTCTGCCTAGATGACCACCTGTTAGGGATGTTATTGAGGGAACCCACACATCTAGGGTTGAGGACTGGGCTATATAACCTGTAATGTCCCTATGAAACTTGAGACTCTGGGAGGCTCTTAAGATTTCTACCCTCAAGCTGACTCCCCTAACTTAGCATCAATACCTTATGTGCACTGAAATCTCCTGGGGCCATCAGCCTGTCAAACATTCCTCTGCTTAAGGTAAGCTTGTCCAGACCCCCATATAGCATTTCTTTCCCCAGCTGGGTCACAGACCCCCATGACCCAGCAAGTTTACTGTGAGGTTAAATGCTAGGGTTGTTACAGTCACTGATACCACATGGTGAGGTTAAAGATAAGGGCTTATGGGTTGCACAAGTGAAACCTAATGGTTGTCAGGCCTAAGGGGGAAAAATATTCCTTAGAAAAACTTTTTTCTTTGTGGATTGCTTTCTACCAGGAAGTCTGATGTTACTCAGTCACAGAATCATGACATATCGGAGTGAGATTATGTTCTCAACTCCCTAATGTCAATCTGGTTTAAAGACTGGGATTTATCATACAATGAGAAATTTAGTATCTCTACTGTCTTGAACAACCACCAGTCTGGGGTCAAGGCTTGGAATTTTAAAGATGTTATCAGTTGATATGTCATGGTAATCTTCTGTCACTTAATATAGAGGGGTAGCAAAGGTCCTTTTTTTTTTTAAGAGGCAACATGTTTTTGGGTGAGGAAGCTGTGGTTAAGGGGAAAGGGTGCTAGGTTTGGAACCAAGAATCTGGGGTTCAAATCTCAGAGCCACCATTTTTACCAGGGATCTGGGACAAAAGACTACTTGTGCCAACCTCCTTTTTTTCATCTTGTAAAATGCAGAAAATAACACTTGCACTATCTATCCCACAGGTGTGCCACGGGGACAGGACTTTGTGAACCTTAAAGCATTGCACAAATGGGAGAGATTATTATGCTCCTCTCTGAGCCTCTTCTTCATCTGTAAGACAGGGGTTCTAATTAATATTCACATTAAATATCTCACAGGTTGTTGTGAGATCACATGAGACACTGTAGGTGAAACTCTCATCTGTAACTAAGGTA